ATCCATACTGGACTAGTGTAAGTTCTATTCCTTCTGAAAAAACCACTTTTCTGAGGCTGATGGCTCTCCAGTTCAGAAAGCCATCACATTCGATCATGCGAGATTTACCGAAGAGTTTTACGATTCGCAATGTGACTCTAGGACCTTTAGATTATGCTGAAGGGCAGAGGGACAATCGCAAATCGAACTAAGTCATCGGCGTACAGCAAAACATTTATAACAACATTAATTAACAATTATAACCACATCAACACGCACACCAAACTCAAGAATTTCGTTTTAGTCATCCACGTAGGAAAATAACAATTGACTCGTAGTACATCCTTGCCTTATTCCAGTGTTCAATTTAAAGCGTTCGTGTAGACCATATTTACTACGCACTGTTAAGACTCATAGAAAATTTATTTAATCATACAATACATTTATTTAATTTAGACAATCGAAAGCTACCTCAATGTCGAAAAAAACATTCTTCTCGATGTGTAACTATGAGATTGACGAGCGTAAATAAATTATTGCCAGTTGTGAATCGTGTGGCAGGATTTGAGAGGAATTCAGATGGAATATGCCTTTTTCATAAATTTGGAATAAAAAAAAGGATAAACAGACTATAAGAACTTTTTGAATTTGTTGTGTGAAATGAATTGGTAGTTATTGGTGAGGCGGCAAAATGCGTTTCTTTCTTCCCCACCAAATTTGCCTCATCTATAAACCTACAGAGTTCAATTCAATGACTATTTTGATGTCATCCAAATGTTATAAACAAAAACATAAAATATTAGAACTGTGATACCGCACCTAGAAAATTCTGAACTAAAAAGAATTAGTGAACATATTTCATTGGTGATGCGGTAAAGCGTGCTGCTATTTATCCACCACATTTCCTTCACCTAGAACCCTCACTTTGATAACTTCCGGTACTTGTAAAGTCTTTCTATCGTTAGAACTATAACTTCAACTTAAAAGGTTTAAATTGAAAGAAAACAACCAGGCATCAATGACGAGGGGCAAAATTTGCTACGATTTCACCCAAAGTATTTTTTCTATAAAAAACTCTAGTTTAATAAATATTGCGATTGTGATATTAAACTGAAAACTTAAAAAGTGGATAGAAGAATTCACTGAATTTTTATACCTAATAGTAAAATCATGAGAGTTGTTGGTTGAAAAACAACCTTACGTTTCTTCGTTTCTTCGCAGTCGTGATCTGTTCCAATTTTTTTTTAAGAAAACTAAATGAAGAACTTGAAAAAGATTGCAAAAAACAACAACTAAAACTACTGCCAGAGAGTAACAATTAGAGGCCCACGGTTAAAAGCGAGTACCGAGGCTTCACTGCAGCTTTGATTTATAAGCGGCATGTTCTGGGCGTGTCTACAGTAATTCATAGCAAGAACTAGTAAATTAAAGGTTCAATCTAATCAAGTTAATACTTCGCCTTACGGTAAAATTTCGATTTTTATTTTTGAGGCACTTATGAAATTACATTTCCCGTAGTATTTCTCCTTCGATCCGATTATTTTTGGTATTTGGAGGAAAATATATTTGACTGATCATCATTAGAAGGGTATTAGGGTTACAATTTCAATATTCCAATTAATTTACCAAGGCCTAAACTACCGCTGTCGAATGTACAGGGAAAAACGGTCGATGAATATTTGCACATTGAAACGTTTATTTTTACATTCAAATGAAATTCTCAACCTGAACCAGTTCAAAGAGAAAATTCTTTAGATTTCTTGGATTAGTCATATAAGTTATACAATGAGCTTGCGTCCTTCAGAAATAAGATATGACATGATAAATAAGACAGTATGTAGGGCTATAAGAAGAAAAAAATTAATATCGTTGAATTAAATTTCCATAATTTTCAAAACAAAAACACCACCGAGTCATATACAAAATATTACTTATTAATATAAGTATATATAATAATATTAATAAATAAAATATTACTATAAAACTGTCCTCTGTACGTAATACCAATATTTCGAACGTTTCTTACGTTGACAGACCTGGATTATATGGCATTAATAAACATTCATTCTTAAAACCTTACATCTTTCAGATTCCAGGCTTGTAAGAATAACAGCGTTAGAATCATACGGTCGAAGACATCCTGGTATGTACATTGGCCATATCTCCCTAACTCTCTCTAATCACCCCAACCCTTGATGATAAATGGCCAGATCTCTTTTCAGCTTTGTTGTTGGCAATAAAAGAGCATTATAGAACTGAAATCATGCGCCGTTCTCAATCCTCAGATAATTTCTTGCTGTTCAAAGACCTATCTCATTCACATAGTTTATTTAATTTAAAAGAAAGAAAATTCGTCGGTCTTAATTTATCTGAGTGTCGATGGCTTCTAAAACTTTGTTGCGAGGTTCTCCATATGAACTCTGCTCTTTGGATAAGAGGGAGGGATGGAATCTGTTCTCTGTGCAACTCGCGGTCAATTGAGACAGTTCTTAACTTCCTAGCTGTGTGTGCAATTTGAGGCGAGATTCGTCTATTACACCTCGGGTCATTCACTCTCTCAAGAGCCCAAATCATTGAGCAGTTGAATGGTTCGGATCCCCGGGCTCTCATAAGATATGCTCGCCACGCCTGGAGGTAATCGACACTATTTAGTCCAGGGATTTAATTTTTAATTTCGTATAGACTTTTCCTTCATTAAATACCATAATTGTAACAAAGTTAATGATCTGGACGAAAAAATCATTACATTTCTATGTATTTATTTTTATTCCTTTTATGTTCTACAATTAATGCCTGCATATCCAGAGATTTATGTTTAATTTTCAATTTACAAGTTCTCCGACGACAGACAGATTTAATTCCACTTTTATTTATATGTTTCATGATGTGCTCAATCTATCTATATATCTTTATCTATATGCACCTTCATCCATTCTCTCCTATTTAATTCTTCCCCTTCTTTCTCTTTCTCCATGTTTTTCTTTTCTTTAATTAAAGTCTTCCTCGTCCGCCTCTTTTTGCTGAATTTCTCAGTTTAGAATATAAGGCGAAATAGGGTGATTGTCATTGTCAAAAAGCCTGAATAGCATGGTGATATTTCCATGTTTAGATATACAGAGAAATATGCAAAAAGAAAAAAAAAGCTGTTAGATCTAATGGCTGAAATACTACCGCAGAGAATTTCCTATTTATACACGACTTCTGTTCGTTCTTTTCTTATTAGAATTATACGCTTGTTAAATTAATTATCAAGATTATTATTACAGTATTATAAATAATAATTTGCTTGAACACTTTGTAGTATTTGTTGACGGTGTTTGTTTAAAAAAATTATCACTCTCTTTTTTTGTTTGTTTGTTTTTATATTTGATGCAACGAATGCTTATTTCGTTTATGCTTGGTTTTATAAACAGTCAATAAATGTAACCTTGTTGCCTGCCTTATACCTACCATATGTTCCCAGTACTCTCCTTAATGACTAGTCCTTAATGCGGCTATTATTTATGGCATAAAATTGTTTTGAGCCTCTCTTTTTTTAGCTATGGTGCGTTGTCTCTTGCTTTGAGAGTAGGTAACAAAAAAGAGAAAGAGAAAGAGACAGAGAGAGAGAGAGTGAGAGAGACAGAGAGAGGGGGAGAGAGAAAGAGAGAAAGGGAGAGAGAGAGAGAGAGTGAGAGAGAGAGGGAGAGAGGAGAGAGGAGAGAGAGAGTGAGTAAGTGAGAGAGAGAAATAGGTAGTAATATAGTAAAATAAAAATTAACCATTATTAATATAATAAAAATTAGCCTACGGAAGATAAATTACACTGTAATAACACGCTATTTTTTATAATAAGATTGTGTGCCAAAATATAATTAAAAGAACACAAAAAATAATAAAAAAAATTTATATAAAAAAATTACAATTAGAATTAAATGAAGAGAATGCTTCACTTATCATAACATTTGAACTGGTTACTTTTGAGATTTACCCAGAATGTATTAACTTTTTTCAGATGTTTAACTTCTTTTGGTAATTTGTTAACCGTCCAGAAGTTGGGGGGCTGGAATGAGATTTATTGCTGAGCCCATTTGCCACATTCTCACCGACACGGGGAGCCCGTCGTAAAGCTCTTTGGTTTTTTTAACAATTTCATTCTTGTAGGTTTGTTTAAATGTTTACATATTTGGCTCAGGGAGGTGAACAGCCGACATAAGGGAATTATTTAGAATAGGCACGAGAAACTGTGCGAGCAGTCGGCTATTTTTCATTTTAGGGTTACGGAAGAATGTTACTCTTGTAAACGACTCATTTTTCAACTTCAACCCTGAGATGACCATGAGACCTTCTTTTATTTCAGCCATTTAGATAATGGATCAATTTTTTAACGCTTTCTGTACGGAGTTCTCGTGAAACTGTTAACAAGCTCGTAGGTAAGTCCACCGAAGACTAAATAGCTATAATCGAAAAGGGGAAGCACAAGGGAAGAGACCAGGAGTTTGCTGGTACTGATTGGTTAGAGCTGGATTGTATGACAGAATTGGCGGAGGATGGGGAAACAGTGGCGGGTGGTTTGGGAAATGTAGGGTTTTCAGGACAGGGTTTGATCAAGGATGATCCCAAGGTTTTTGATGGATGAATAAAAAGAGACCGGTTGGTTGTTAATGCAGAACGAAGGAATAGGAGGTAAGTATTGCAAAGGGGACGGGATCAAATATTATAGTCTGGGACTTGTTGGTACTGAAGATCGATTTTCAACGGCCAGGAACTGATGGTACGAGATGTGAAGTGAAAAGGAGAGATAGATTTCGAAGTCATCCGCGTAGAGACGATAAGTACAATATTTAAGGATATTATTATATGGATATAATTAGTAATTATTTATATAACAAGGATACCATTGTAGGCAACGTAGTAACTTAATGTAAGCATGGGATGATATAATTGAAACATTTATGAAGTCAAAGAATAATTGCTCATTCAGTAAAAAAAACTCTTTCGGCAATAATGATCACGAATACAGCGGACTCACAAAATAAATTTAGTTCCATATGTTAATTTTAAGTTGATAAAAATACGTTTTTGGTATAAAAAACACACAAAGGGCTTACCAAACAAGTACACAACACACAGGAGCCGATATTTTTCAGCGATATTTTATGTGGAAATGACAAGGTACCAGTGAAACAAAGAAGTCTATGAGAAATTTGTATTGACGGTTTATAGTAATTACAATTTTATCAACTTGCATATCCTTTCAATCCTAGATAGTTCTTTATTCGGAAATGGAGGATAGACGTTTAGATGACCGTTACCATTTTGGCAATGATGACGAAGTGGCTGAGCTGCCCAGGTCATCAAGAACAAGGATGTCCCCTAGATATGCAGGATCAGTTGAATACTTTCCTTTAGAATCTTATAACAGAATGGTTTATTCGCCTAGATCAAGACAACGTGCAATTTCTCCTAGATCGCCAAGATCTCCTAGAACACTAAGGAGCGTCGAATGTGTTACCCCTTCATCTTCAGTGGGTTGTAGATGTGAACCTTCCCCTCAGTTCATAGAAAATTCACATACACCTTCTGAAATTCCACCAGGGATGTCGGGGTTGCGTAGATCGCCTCGTTATTCCCCGGAGATAGTCGAACACAGAAGACCCGAAGCTATGGAACAGAGTTTAAATGGTATTTCGCGATCAAGATTCTACTGTCGCCACCGCACAAACCGTGTGTCGAATCATAACCGGTACAGTGTAACAGGCCAACAAGACCTGTCGGAGACCTCGGGATCTGGGGATAGTTCGATAGAACGAGACTTCGGAGCAGTAGAGCCCAATTTGTTTCAACGGATGCGCCTGCAGAAAAAATCGCGGAGGTTTAGTAGAAGATACGTACCAGACCAAAGAGGGGAAACGAATTTAGATTCTGTATACAACGAAAACACACTGCGGGAAAGTCGAAACGAGGTATGGTTTGAGCGCGAGACGTACTCGATAGATGAAAATTATGATTACTCCGAAGACAACACGATCCCTTTTGTGAGAAATACCGGTAACCGTGTTACAAGTCCTTCAGAGTTAAGGCCTCCTCATACAAACTTTACCCCGCAAACTTTGCAGTCTAGGGCATATCCAAAACGTCTTTCGGTCAGTACTTCAGATTCACCTCGTACGTGTTGACATTTCAGTTTTATATGTAGGAAAACAACCGCTCAATTACAGACAAACCTATTTAAAAACCCAATATTAAAACAACAAACACATTTGTAAATTTTTTACACATTATTTTAAAAATATGATCATATGTGAGCAAATTGGAACGATTTATTATACAAGTCGTCTGTAGGGATAAAATATCAGTATTTTTACAATAGAAAAGGTTAAAGTCTTTAAATTGTTTATGAATGTGCCAGGTGCAGCATTAAAGTCTTCGATTGTATGTAGTACGTTATTTAAGCACTAAATTATTAAACCAATTATTGTTTTTATATTTAAAAATATTATTTATATTTAATTGGACCATTATGTTGCAATATTTATTTTTAATAAGGATTTTATGATTTTCAAAGGAATTATTCGTACATAGCTAAGAGGTGTTCATTATCCACAAAGCATCCCTTAACGTTTACATGTCTTTATATGTATATAATATATATATAATATATANACCTAATATATATGTCACATTTCAATTGATTTCAATGTGACAATGTTATGATTTAGATTTCGTGATTAGGCCTAGAGTAAAAAAATAAAAGAGAATAGGGAAGAGACAGTCGAGCAGAGGTGAACAAGATTCCGTGTAGATGAGAGATAAGAGAAGTGTGCGATCCTCAAAAGTGTTGTATTCCCTAAAATAGAGTGCTTCGGTCCACTGCGGATTGACTGGAAATAGTGAGTACATATCCACCCTTGTTCTAAATGGTCTGGCAAACGCTTTGTAGGAAATTACTGTTTATTTAAATTTATAAAAAGTTTTAATTGTTTGTTTAAAATTTAAAAGGAAATTTATTGGTTTTAATTATTATTTTCTTGTGTGTTTAATAAATTGTTTTTAAACTTTAATTAAATTTTATTATAAAAAGGCACCTGATCGGCTGAATTCAGGTTCGATCAAGACCTCTGGGGCTCTGTTTCTCATAAAAAAGATTCAGAGTTGGACCCGTCTTGTTGAATCGAGAACAGATCGTGACAAAATTGGTAGCAAAGCGTGGTTGATTAAATTAAAAAAAATATATTAAAAAAAGAACAAAAAAAAACTTTCCATTCGAATGAATACATTGAAATAGTAGAAAAGGAAATTTCAGAATTCTTAAATGATAGCCCGCAAATCCAACAAAGAATTCATAAAAAACAGAGGCAAACCTTTGTCACATCAATATCATTCCGAATTTTAAAAGCTTTAGAAGAAAAAAAGAAATTTATTACAGATCGAGAAATTCTTCGCGAAGCCTCGCTGCCGCAATCCGTAGAATTTAAAACTCTAAAAGGCTTAGAATGCAAAAAGGCTGTCGCGCCGATCACTGATAAATTCAACAATATACTTTTCACTCCATCAATGGCGATGAAGCCTGCGCTAAGCCCAACCGACTCAAATTCTAATCCCGATGACCAATTTATTCCTAAATTTGTAAGCTCGGAATCCGAGGAAGAAAACCCGCGACGTTAGAAAATTGGAAGAAAAATTTATCAGGGCATCCAAGCTACATCATTCTCTCTTAAACAGAATAAATAAATTACCGCCATTAATATTAAATGATCCTGAATCTATTTTTAATTTCTTGTGTGCACTGTATCCTCTTTTGACTCATTATAAATCGTTAACTTCAGAGATTCTCTTTGTTTTAGCGGAAAATAGCCACGGATCCGTAAGCTTCTTACTATCTATATAATGCCGCACAAAGAAAAGATATAAACTTTAGATCTTTGCGTGATTCGTTATTTAAGTTTCACTTATCGCCACAACAATCCTCAAATTAAAAACCAAATATTTACTTCGGGCACAATCAAAAAGAGAGTCTATCCGGGAATACGTCGACAAACAAATTCAATATGCGAAAATATTCCGGGATACAACGGAAATAGAAACGTATGGTTCGTATTGTTATTGAGCGATTCGATCCTAAATATTTGAGTTTATTGGGTACCAAATTTCAAATATATTCCATAAGTCAGCTCTATAAGGAAATAAGTAAAATAGAATTAATTCTGACTAATAGAGCAGCTACTTCACGTTTTTTCTTCGGACAGCGACTCAGATTCATCCTATCAACCTAGGAAGCACAAACTAAACAAAGGATACCGAAAATTCATGTCGTTAGGCCTAGAAACTAATAAAACCTTTCCCGAATCGATTGATAGAAACCGAGAAAGAAATTACTTCCGCGGATACGACAGACCAATATCATCATTATCGGAATCTGAATCAAGTGGTCCCACAAAACCAAAATTTTTTAAAGAGAGAAGATCTTCTGGTAATTACGTAAATAACAGGAATGTCGATTTCAAATCAAACCAGAAAGAACCCAAATATTTTGAACCGCGATATAAAAATAATTTTGGTAGGAATTTTAACAATAGACAATACTATGGCGACTTTTACCAACAAGGTTATGACAGAGGAAATAGGTTTAGCAGACGGGAATATGAACAGGATTTAGAGAGAAGAAATAGTCAGCGTACTCTTGGAAGAGACAATTACAATAAGAGACATATCGATTTTGATTACAGAAGGTACAAAAATAAAAGTCTAAATTTTCACTGCACTGATGCACGCGAATCCCTTCAGGATATTAATAAATTTCATAACCGTAGACAAAACAAAAATATAAATAAATTTAATGAGGGCTTTGGTAAAGGAAAATACTTGGTGTCTAACAATTTCGAGATGGATAGAAAACAGACAAAGTTTCAAAGAGATTATAATTCTGATAACTACCATCCGCAAATAAATAGAAACGAAAACAGGATCGACCCGCACTGTTTAATAAAGTAAAATGCCGACCATTTAAATTTCGGGAATTAGCAAAAAACGGAGAGATCTCCGACCAATCGCGTAGGAGAAATTAACAGTAAATACACCAAATTCATCTACAACGGAACAAAATAATAAACATAAACTAAAGCAAAGAAATTTTAATGATTTAAAAGGATTTGTAGCTGTGATTGATAAGATCAGTTTAAATATAATAAATTTCAAAAAACAAATAATTCAAAAGAAAAAAAACATTGCGCTGTCAAAAAATAATGTAAATTATAATAAAGGGGTTGGATTAATTACGACCATTATAAATAACAAAATTTCAGAAATGCACTGATAGATTCAGGAGCAACGAAATCATCAATTTCAGAAACCTTTTATCATAAGCTTGTAAATTCAAGAATAGTTAACCAAAAAAACGAATTTAAGACAACTTTAAAATTAATATCTGTAAAATGTAGAACCCAAAAAGGGAATCGAATTAAAAATTAGAATTGAAGAGTTTTCATGGAAATTTAGGTTTTTGGTCATAAAAAATCTTCCGGTCTCAATGATTTTGGGGTATGATTTTCAGAAACATAGTGACTTGATTTTATATCCGAGACAAAATAAGAACTTCTTTGGTTTCAATAAAAATCTGGTATATCCTCTAAATACCGTTACCAATATGAACTGTTTAAATGTAACACATCAAAATTTGAAGGAATATTTACAATCGAAATTCCCAGAAGTATTAAACGATCAAATAGGAAAAGCCAACGCTTTCCAAATTCGATTAGAATTAATAGACTCTAGTCCAGTACGTTGTCGCCCATATTATTTAAATCCGGCTCAAAAAAAGGCAACTCAAGAAATAATGGAGGACTTAAAGAATCAAAATATAATTTTTGAAAGGTTTCAAATTATTGCAGTCCGTGTTTTCTAGTTAAGAAGGGACAAAAAGGAAAATATCGTCTTGTCATAGATTATAGGGAATTAAATAAAAAATAAAAATATTTTGAGTACCCAATCCCCCCTCGTAAATCGGTCATGGACAAGTTAGCGGGCCATAAATATTATTCAGCTCTGGATCTAATAAAATCATTTCATCAATTGCAATTATCGCCGGAATCCCGATTTCTTACCGCATTTACCGACGGTGAAAAAATATATCAGTTTAACCGTTTAAACTTTTGGTTTGAAAATTGGTTCCCAAGCAAATAGCCTTAATTTAATGATTAATCTGCCGCTTTTAAATTTTTATCAACGGATTTTATTCTTTCCTTCTTATACTTATTTTTTGTTTTCGTTTGTATCCGCTTATTTTTAACAAAAACGTCTTCAGGGATTGCTGGCAGAAGTTCTCTTTTTTTATTTAAATTTTCAATTAATGTAATAATTAAGATTGGAGTTGATGATGGTGTTGGTTTGAGAGTCAGTGAACTCATGCCTGACTGACTGTGTTAGATGTGTCATATTTAATATTGTATCAATAAAAATGCTAAAAATTTCGTTTTGAGAAGTAATTAAAGCTCGACTTTTTTTAATTATAATAAGAACTTATGATTGTTATTTTTAAAAGAATTAGCAAAATTATTTTACAGACGGAAAATGTATATTTTTATTAAAAAAGTTAATTTAAAAGATAAAATACACATGATTTTCAAACATCTGCACACTTAACTGAAAAACGATAAAAATCAACACGGAAGACACAACCACCAACAATTGACACAATTTTGCAAATACACAAAAATTGCTCGGTTTCGAACCACACTGACTTGTGTGGAATGGGCTGGCTCTTCGCTGGAAATCTGTAAAAGCCGTTGAGTACATAATTTCAGTTATTTATTAGTGGAAACGTATCAATTTCTTATCAACCGTCAGCAATGTCTAGGAATTACAACGCTCGCTCGTACGAGTCAGACTTTTCTGAAGACGCGGAGGTCGCAGAACTTCAAAGGTCTTACAATTTGGCCAGTCTTTGCGAGAATTATTTAAACAGCCGCAATGAACGTTTGGCAGCGGCTTCGACACCGTACAGGCGAAGGGAGAGAGGTATGCATCTCCGAAATTCACCTCACCTTTCACCAATAAGACGTGCTGCGCGAGGCGAAGGAAACTTCAGGTCGTCCAGCGAAGATGAGTACGAAGTCGCTGAGATGATGCAGCCCGCCGAAACATCCTCGGAAGCAGAAGTATGCGAAGTCGCGGAGATGAGAAGGCCCGTCCAATTCGATTCGGAGTCGGACGAGTACGAAGTCGCTGAGATGCGAGCGCCAGACGGAAGATATTTCGATTTGGAGTATGATTTCGAAGACATGCGTCGGGCTCAACAAAGAACTTACGACTATGAAGAATACGAAGTCGCGGAGATGCGAAGGCCCGCCGACGACTACGAATGCTACTCGGAAGAAGAAGTCAGCGAAGACAGCGTACCCGTCATGAAAACCCCGCGTTCTCCCTACAGGCATTACACATATCAATTGGACGAAGGGGTTTCCGCCAACATGGGCGATACGACTTCCCCACAAGTCGCGGTACTCCGTTCTAGAAGAAACGACTCGCCGAGAAGTGCAAATCTTAGCAGGACGTACACGCTCAGCCCTAATAGCACGTTCGAGTCCGAAGGAGAATTTTTCGAAGATTCAGAATTGGACGCTCCGCCTGAAACCCCGACTGGGAGGTACAGTGGACGGGTCAGACAACGTGGAAGGCGAGTAAGAAACTGCCCTCTGGACAGTATACGCCCAAGGCGGTTAAATTAACATGTCCGAAATGATGTTGTTACTAGTTATACATTAAATAAGAAAACATTAAAACTTACACGCTATTTATTTGGTTTTCATGTTTGCAGGCTGCACCTCAGAATAGCACTTCTTTTTCAAAGCATAGATCTTTTTCAACACATACATATAAGTTATGGTTTTGCGTGTATTAAATTAGTTTTTAAAAAGAACACTATTTATTACACAGCAAGGCAATACAAAACTGGAATAACCAATTCAAATTAGGGAATCTTCGGTTAATACTCGATGAAAGCCCGGAACGGATTCATTAAAAAATATTAATATTAGCAAAGGCTTGGGGATGTAACGAAGGAGGGGTTTCTTGGAAGTGAACGCGTGCAGGTTTGATAAGGGAGAAATGTGAAGGGTTGCGACAGATAAGGGTCAATCGAGTAACACCTCCCCCTTTAAAAAAATAAACTTCCTCCTCGAAGTTGGACCTTAAGATTCCCTATTACAATATTATCATACAATAGAGGATTCAAAGGTATATCATGTAGAGAAAATTTCCTTAGATGAATTTCCATTTGAGGCTGTTGGTTCACCGTTGAATTTATTAAGTCGATTTTAGACAGAATTTTTGGATGTCCACTAGAGTCGATTCGTAGACCAGATGATTTCCTTTGTAGTAGATCGTCACGGACTCCGTCTACATTAGGTAGATTCCGTGAAGTGTTTTCGTTTCGGTTTCTTTACGTGTGACAATCGCGTAATAAAGACGATTAAATATTTATTTATCTCTTTTATCAGTTCTATATGATTATTTGTCGTGTGAAGACTGACAAGTGTGCAGGAAGTCGACGTCTCGTTCAGCATAATTTCTTCGATGCATTTGGATCGGTGATAAGTTACGTCATCTTCGTAGCATTGGATGCCTCGAATTAAATGTTTACATTTATTGTTTAATAAAATTAAAGAATTACTTTTTGTTGCTTTCAGTACAAACTTTGCAGGAATTACAGTTACATAAATTTCGCCTAATTTAGGAGGTATTGAATAGAAGTTATAAACATCGCATTCTACTTTTGAATTAAGAGGTATTGACAAGCTGTAAATAATTTCGTTATCATGGATTTTACAACCGACTCTTATTAAATATTCGTACTCTAAAATATTTTCTAATTTTACTTCTATAGGCAACGGGTGTGCATAATGCAGAAAATTTTTTGAAAGTTCTTCGTAGAGTTGATGTATAATTATTATACTTGGGAGTAACGTTCTTTGTTTGCAAAATGTTATGGAACTCTCAATATCTTGAAATATATTCATAAGTACATTAATTAATATTTGTAAGTGATGAATTGTTTTTTTTACAATTGTTAAATCGGTTATGTGTCGAATTTTCCTATTTAATTGTAGTATTTTATATTCCAATTCTTTAGTGTTATATTTTATAGTTTCTATGGTTTGCTTAAAATTATCACTGATTTTGTTATTGACGGAATATTGAGCGATTAAATGGTTTTGGATATTCAGTTGATTTTCGTATATGTGACTTAAAACTGTGTTGACATGTTTGCCGTCGTCATAGTCTAAGCTACCCGTTATTGCTTTTATTATAGTGCCTAGTCCATTAATTAATCCTCGTTTTGTTCTATTATTCAAATGGATTTTTATATTGTTAATTTTTCTTTCTACGGTAATTTTTGTAAAATTCAGAAGGTTAATTGGGGGTCTCTAAGTGTTGTAGTATAGTTCGATTTGTTTTAATTGTTGTAATAATTTTGTTGTATTGTGTCGTAAGAATTTCGTATTCCTTATATATAGTTTTGAGGTCATAATAATGTATTAATGTGTGCGTTTTTGTTTGTAGTTTAGCGGGTCCCAGATTAATTGTGAGGATTCCTGCATTATGTGTTATGTCTCTTATGGTGGTTCCTTCGACGATGAGGAGGAGGGACCTGGAACAATGTGAATTTATTAAAATTTTGGACTTTGTAACGTCGACATTTCTGGTATTAACTGATGAGTTGTTTTGCGAGGCCGTTTTATATTTGCTAAATGAATGTTAGATTTGGTATTATGATGGGGTTTTTCGATTATAGCCGTTTTCTTTAAAGGATTAAGTGATTTTATTTTTTATACAAATTTTTTGTTTTCGATTATTTCTGTTTGTTTTTTACATATATTTTTTCGGGAATAACTGAGATTTCTTCTCTATCTTCGTTGAGTTTTCCTATAACTGTTTCTTTATGTTTTAAACTATTTTCATGGATTATTTTATACATTATTTTTACTTTCTCTTTATGTTTGTTAATATAATCATTCACAAATTGCGACTCTAAATTTATACTTAATGGAGATTCTTGCTTTATATGTCCTGTAATTATTTCAACTGGCTTCAGTTTTGTAACTGAGTGTTATTGTACGCTGGTATCGCATAGTTTACTTTATTTTTTATTGTTTTTTTTTCAAAATGTTTCATTATTCAAAAGTTGAATATGCTCAATTAGAGGGAAATGAAAGCGTTCTATTATTCCGTTTGAATTAGGGTGTTGTGAGGAAATGAAATGTATGTTAATTTTGTATAACTTCAAGAGTTCTATAACTAGATAATTGTTAAATTCTACCCCTTTGTCTAATATTATTTGTTCGGGTATATTATGCCTACTAAAATGTTTAATCAATTTATTTACTACTTCTATTGCTTGCCCTGAATTAAATTTATAGGTTTGTGCAAATCGTGAGAATGTGTCTATAATAGTAAGAAATTTTGTGTTATCTAGTGTTTTAGTTTCCATTTGTATTATTTTGAAAGGTTTTGTTGATGTGGGGGTAACATTAAATTTTAGCTTAAGGGGCCTTCGATCATATTTCACTAACAGGCAATTTTCGCATTGGTTAATAAAAGATTGTACTGATTTCCGTTGATTGGGTCAATAATACAGCCTTTTTATGGCTGCTTCAGTTTCTTCTATTCCACGATGATTGGTTTTCCCTGTGTTATAGTTTTCTATAATGCTCTGTATTTCGTGTTTATCAATGACATCAATTAATTTTTTAGTAATTTCAATAGATTAATTTCGGAATCCTTAAAATGTTTTGCTACCGTTAAACAAAATTCTCTATATATATCGTTTTCAAAATAAATGTAATGTCTCTTTTTTGGTGTGATGTAAGATTTTACAAAGTTAACTATCTCTTTTTCCAGATTACTTTTAGAAATTTGGCATATTATCCTTTTCTTGTTGTTAAATAAATTCAATATTTTTGTTTCAGCCGGGTTTTGCTCGACGGTTGAGATTATTATTTGGTTCTTTCCGTGATTTACCGCGCATTCTGTTATTGGTATTTCAATTTGAGTGTTCCCATCGCGATTAGAATGAATTGTTTCTCCATCGCTCTCTGATTGATCAAAATTAAAGGGGTTTTCGTCAACGTTAACTATTAGAGATTGATTATCTACTAGGTCGTCTGGGCTATCGAAAACTTCATTCGCGATATCTGGGTACTGTCCAAAAAATTGTGTCAGCATTTCATCGATTTCTTTATCTTTTGTGTTGGCTTCGGTTATATTTAATTGTATTCTACTTAAAGCATCGGCAACAGCGTTTTCCTTGCCACTTTTATATTTGATATCGTAATCGTATTACTCCAATTGGAGCCGCCATCTCACAAGTTTAGAGTTCGGTTCTTTGATCGAAAATAACCAGTGAAGCGGTTTATGATCCGTAAAGATGGTAAAATATCTTGAATAGAGATACGGTCTAGAATGTTTGACTGATCAAACCACGGCTAGCAATTCTTTCTCAATTGTGGAAAGATGCGATTCGCTCTCGTTCAAGGTACGACTCGCGTAAGCGATAGGTAAAAGAGCATTATCAAAATTCTGGCTTAAAACAGCGCCTATAGAAACATTGCTTGCGTCTGTCGTAAGATGGAATTCTTTTGAAAAACAGGATACCGCAATATTGGTTCATTACTTAAAATGTTTTTACATTTTTTGAAGCATTATCGTTTATTTTATTAAAGCAGGATCGTTTAAATCTAATTTTTGTCCTTTTCTTATGCTGATGGTTGATTCTTTGCAGATGGCTATAGAAATAAAATTAGAAAATATTTTAGAGTACGAATATTTAATAAGAGTCAGTTGTAAAATCCGTGATAACGAAATTACTTACAACTTGTCAATACCTTTTAATTCGTCAAATCCGGGAGAATTTTGTCTTGATTTTTTCGGCATATTTACTTCTCGTCGTCTTGTCTTGTATTATTATACCGTCTCTTCTTTTCTTTATACGCGTCACTTTTGTTTACTCGAAACGAAAGTTCAAATTTGAAAATCCGAAAACCGACATAAATCGAGAACAAGAACAAAAATCAACTAACCTCCTCCTAGCAAGCGAGCGGCCCCCAATTTTGTAGGAAAATTGGATAAGTTAGTGGCTATTGAAATTGTACTCGAAATGACTTATGAATTTTATTGATTACAAGCTGCAAAAATAAATCTTAAGCACACAATTTGAACAAAATAAAATGATTTCGACACAACGCCCGATAAACGTCTATCCTTTTTAACGGCCAAATCTCAACTCTACTCGTTCTACCCGCCTGCCGCTTGGCGCACCTCAGGCCATCTCCGACATACGTATCACATTTATATATATTACTTTATTTGTATTTTATGAAACGTGGAATTTAAAATTTAATTACTTTTCTATCCTTCCTCTGTGTAGTTGCTACTACGCTATAAAACGACGATTGCCTGAAAACTTGATCAATGAATTATATATTTTTTTATGTTGAAATGTAGAATAGAAGGTAAATACTTGAAATAATATCTAGAAGTACGCATATACTACAATCGAAATGTATATAAAACAACAGAAAGTAATATCATTTTTTCTAAAGCAATTCATCAAATAACTGATATAAATCGTTAGCATCCAGCCTACAACTACTGACAAAACAGATGGTAATAACAATATAAAAAAAGTGTGCATCTTAGTGACCTGTTGTTTCATAATATGTTGAAGGACGCCGTTTCGACCTTTATTCAGGTCATGTTCAGTGACACTTCACACAAAACCAATATGACACCACAAAAATAGTACCACACTTTATGCCCTGAAGATGTCGAAAAGTCGGTAAAAATATGAAAATGGCGTTTTTCTAAACTATCTCATTCTTGACAGCTTCTCACGACTTCTACAAATTATAAAAAAATGTTATAAACATTCACCTTGTCATGTTAGTTGGGGTTCGGAAAAATTAAGTCGGTTTTGTTGAAAATCCGGGATTCACAAGCTGAAACGTACCACTGGTTATAAGAGCCCGAAAAACTGGCTACTTTATCTGGCGAAAGACCTGGCTATACTTTATTTGGGAGTGCCCGCACAATAACAAGTCCAATAACTTATCCAGATCGAGGGGCGATCGAATTTTCGGTTTCCAGTTAACGAACTGTATGTCTTTTCGACCATTTGGTCATCTTGAATATATTCAGTTTTACATTATTACTTGTTTTCTGATATTACACATCTGCACCTTCTTTCATCGCGCTTTGATTTGAGGAACATAAAAATATTCGGCAAAACAACAGATTAAAACTGGGATCTTCTTTTCAAGAATTTATTACTTATTTCTCAATTCTAATTCAGTATATGCCCTAATAGCCTTTGTATTTCGTCTTCGAAAATGTTTGATGTGCATTATAGGATAAAAAGATTAACATGCTACGGGTTTTTAATGAAAGTTGTTTTGCTGACGTTAGGTGGAAAAATATTTGACACATACCTGAGTATTCATGCCAAAATATGGTTTCCTTCTTAGATATATAAAATCACAAAACTACGCTTCCAGCAATGTTTGCCGAAAATTTTGTTTTTGAAAAAGCAAATCGGATTAGTTTAAACAAGTTTAAACCTTTAAATACGAATTTTTATTGCAAATAAAAATTAGACATTTTCAGGCCTGATAATCTAAGAGCTGGCGATTTTAATCTGGTCTGGTGTTCCACTTAACAAATTCATAACTCATCTGGATTTTATCCAATGTCCACGTAATTTCAACCTTGGAGAGCCAAACCCAGGACTGTCCTCCGAAACTTAGATTAAAAAAATTAAGCTAAATGTATTTACACAGCATGACTTTTCAGTCTTCTAAGTTCACGTGCCGGTGGAGCGACTGAACGAAATCAGTGGGGACGGTATTCAGGTGGTCAGTTATGCATTGATACAATTCCATACACGCTTCTTCCACCACTTCGGCGACGAATGGTATATTTCGATCACGGTGAATTATAGAGTTCTGAATATACTAAGGCGCATTCGTGATTATCCGCAGAAATATATTTTTGTACGATTTTTGTAGGAATATAAGTTGACATTTTTTTTGTCAATTAGTTGAATTAGTCGGGAACAATTTTTTCTCGATGTTAACGGTTTTATAAGCTCAGGATCTCTTCTTTTAGCCTGTCTACAACGTTTAAATTGGTTGTCATTGTAAGTGAGGCATAATTGGTGGGAAGGGAGGGAAAGGAAATAATTAACACCTCTGATTTGAAAAATGGAGCAAACTTTAGAAACTAAAGTTTAACCCCCAAAAGGCACAACACTTTTTCAGAATGCAATAATACAATCTATGGTACATTGATAGTTTTGTGAGTTATTTTCTTAATTCTAGTCATTAATTGGTGCTTCCGGTTAAGCTTTAGGCTTAATAATCAAGTGTGCAAGTGACAAGTAAACAGATAAGAGCTGAGCTCAGTGCGCATGCACGTAATGTGCGTAATGTTAAATTTTTTTAAATTGTTTTCATTCAGTTGTTTATTGACCTCCGACCAGATCGTACGTATGTTATCTATAACCTGAAAATATTAATTTTCGTTTGAATAACGTATACTAGATTGTAGAAATGTTGACGATATGGTCATAGTTGTCACTCAAATGGTTAGGCCAAA